ATCTTCCTCTACTTTATATGTGGGACGCCTGCCACAGCATAGCTTGAGAAGCAATGCATAGGTCCACGCCTAGGATTGGAATCTGCAAACCTTGGGCTGCTAAAGCAGATCGTGTGAACTTAACCACTACGCCACCAGGCTGGCCCCCCAGAATTATATTTTAATGACTATAAATACATTCCAAATATTCAGAGACTTAGGAGAAAAGATTCTTAATTACCAAATGCTTAAAAATAACATCCCTTAATTCTGTAAACTACTAGTATCTCTCAATGGTCTTTTTTTTTTTTTTTTTAGGACAAAGTAGTTTTATATTGCTTGTGTCTTTAAATACCTGCTGTTTCTTTTGAGACCAAAAGTTCCCAACAAGGAAACAAGTCAGCCTGATTCTAGCATTTTATTTATTACCTTGTCTTAAAGCACCATAATTGATTGTATGGCTTCTTTCAATATGTTTAATAATCCTCACTAAAATTCATGTGTATCTAATGTAAAATAGCTAAGTTATGGAATGCTCTAACGAAGGGGGAAGGAAAGGCATTTATTTGTACAGGATTAACTAAAATGGAAAAAGTAGGACTTGTAGCAGAAGGATTCATTAAAAAATCTGAGATACTTAAAAATCTCGGTTCTTTAGCTATCCAGTCATGTTAATGCTTAATTATAATTGTCACATGTTGAATGGATATTAACTCACTGGGCACGTGAAACCGCCACTGCATCAAAATGAGACAGTTTGGAAAAGTAGAAATATTTTCTTGAATGAAAATAGATTCAAGTTGATCCATATTCAAATATTTCATTTAATACTTCAGATTTGTTCTTTCTCCACTTTCGTTTAAAACTATTCTAAATGTTAGTGTATTCTTTTGGATTGTGCCTTTGTGTTTGTGTCATGAAAGAGTCAACTGAGAAAAGTAGTCATGCAAATAATGTGAGAGTTGTTACTGCCACAGCATGAATGTACAATTGTATTAAATTTAATCCACAGAAGTCTGTTTGGATGTACTTTGTTATTAGGTTTGTTAAAACTTCAGATCATTATTTGGAAGGAAGCTATTTCTCTCCACTTTGCCAGTTTGGGTTTGTATGTTTTCATTAACCTCCATGTTTTTTCACATGAGCAACTTTGTACCTTTCCTTTAAAAACACACCTCTCCTTTAAATTGCTCCACAAAAACTGGTATCAATTCCATTTCTTCTGTTGGATTTCCTAGAGAACAAAATCTCTCAAAAATAAGTTCTTCCTTTTCTGTGCTAATCATCTCAGGTATCTGTATTCCTTTAGCTGTCCTTAAGAGACTTAGTTAGAATATAGTGTGATCTATTTTTCATTTCATTCATGTATCTAAGTACCCACCATACCTAAGTACCCACGAAGGGCAAGGAAGGTCTAGGCACTGAGGATACTCAAAACAGTCCCAGCATATGAGTATGGAAATGTGTAACAGACTAAGGTTTAAGAAGTAAAATATGAAGCAAAAGGTAGTATTCTTAAAAGAGCTATTCTGTTATACTTCATTTAAAGGCCTTGAAGAGAATCATGCTTTAGAGGATAGGATACACATGTAGATAGACCTCACCTGTAAATTCAGGTTGCTCTTTACAAAGGCAGAAAGGCCTAGCAGGTCTTAGTGGTAGAGACAGGCAAAGTCACTTAGGATGGTCATTTCAGTATCCCATTTAATGGAACTTGAAAAAATAGAGTACAACTTAGGTGTGTTAAGACACATAACCACTCATGGCCTGTATGCTTGAAACAAGACTTGAAGGTAACACCAGAGATATGGGGTGGTTGCCAATCTCCATTAGTTTCAAGATAACACCAGAGATATGTGGGTGGTTGCCAATCTCCATTAGTTTCTCTTGACTGCATCTGTTTTTTAGCAGTGGGGAAAGAGTCACAGCAGCACAGTTCCAACTCCATCCAGACCTGCATTCCAGCTTCCTGCCTTTTTCTTTTTGTCAACTTCTTAAATTCAGCTTCCGTGTCTGTTGGCAACTTTGGATAAGTGAGAGAAAAGCCTCATTACTAAGGTTCTTTCCAAATGTTCACATAGCTGCTGTTCAAAAGGACAGAAACATACAAAATAAGCCTTGTTGACTTTGTTTCCCTTGTTTTGATATTTCATAAAAGTGACAAGTTTGAAATTAATTACTGAATAAATAGAATTCCAAACCAAGACAAATTTTATTAACATTCATGAAAAGCTAATAATTACAATCTACATATGTATTTTTAAAATTTATTTTGATATATAAAGGGGCAAAAAAAATTCATGTAATACACAAGTACAGATTCCAGTCCACCCACCTACTTGTCTAACCTCTTCTCAGAGGCAATCACTATCACCGGTTTCTTGTGTATCCTTGCAGAGATAATTCTATGCATATACAAATAAATGTTTAGGTACAGCATACCTTTGTTTTACACAATGGCAGCATACTATACCCATAGTTTCAAACCTTTTTCTCATTTAATTACCTTGGGAAAATTCCTTGCCAGTACATACATATACTGCCTCATTCTTTGACTTTATAGTATTCCATTTCTATATTATGCTCTGCTGTCTACCTGTTCATCATTAGTCTTCTTTTGTATCGCTTATCTATGTAGCAAGCAGTGCAGACAGAAGTTTTGCTGGCAGAAGAAAAAATTCCTTTCTTTCTCAGGTCAAGCCCCCAAACTGTTGCCAAAGAATAACTATATAATCTATTCACAAGTATCTGAGATGAGCTGCATCTAAGGGAGAAAGAATGGAGAATTACTAATCTGGTCACCACAACTGCAATTCCAGTTTCTATCACCCAGCTGTGTGAGCCTGTCGTTTAAGCAATCTGGATTGATTAGATGATTTCTAAAATTCCTTTTAGCAATAAATTGTAAGATTTGGAATTCCTGAGAAGTTGCAGCTAACATACTGTGTAATATTTTATACATTAAAAACATCTTATTTGGTCTCAACCAGGTAGGCAGAAAAGATTAAAATACTTTGCATTTGAAATAAATAGACACTAACATTAAAAATTATGACCAGGGAAATAATTTTAAAAGTTCCTAAAGGGTTCACCTCTACCTTTCTAGATATTATAATTTAATATGGCAACAGGAGTTACCTTAAATCTCTCAGCAAAGGAATATAATTAAATGGAAGCTAGCACCAGCCACCAACCACATGCCCGCCCTTGAACTACCTCCTTGTGCTACTGCAGCAACACTATAAAGTACAAGTTAGTCCTATTTTAGAGATGAAGAAAGTAAGCTTCATAGATTGTTACTAACTAGCCTAGGGTCATCTGGTTGCTTCCCAAATAAACTAAATTAAAATGAGTATTCATTGGGCAAATTGTAACCTCAATTACAATTTTTACAATTTTTACTTTTACAATTTTTACAATTGTTACTTCCAAGTTTTCTATGTGACTCTGGATATATACTTTGCACTGATTCTCTTACAGGTTAAAAAAAAAGAAAAAGAAAAACCAAGGAGAGTTTATTAAAAAGCTGACTATAAATACTATTCAAACCAACAGGATTATGTCTTTTTTTTCCTTCCCAAAGGAAAAGGAATCATTCAAGAAGTTCTTTGCTTAACCTGAGACGCAACCAAAGATCAAAATCTAATAATTAGATCTGGCTAATATAACAATTCCTTTTCTGATAGACTCTTCACTTTTGTTGACCCAAGTAACTTCTGTATCTCTTCCCAAAGACGTCTAGGAAGTTCAGAATAATTTTTCATATACTTTTCCTTTCTTATTTATTATAATTTGCTTTTTGTACCTGAAATTAATCTAACTCCAAACACAGGATGTAAGTGGATGAATTATTTTCAATAGAGAACCCTATTTTCTTTGTAATTAGAAGGCACCAAATTGATGTACTCATATTGCTTTAGATGGGCACATTTGTGTTCAGTAAATATATTTGGTCTTTCTTCAATGACACTGCAATATAATTACTAGGTGCAAAACAAAGAACGGCACAGATCCATACACGTACAATGGCTCACTGTATTCATGGATGACAACATTATTGGGATCTCTCATGTATTTGTTACTGAAAAAAAATTTTTTTCTTTAAAAAAAAGGGATAAGTGGAAAAGCATTTAGTGGGGAAAACTTTAATTAGGTATAAATTAAAGCTGATTTGAATATTTTGACATTCAAAAACTGAAAAAAGGGACAAGCCTGACATAGGGTGCCAAGAAAAACCAGGATCAGATTAAACATGTTTTGGACCAATCACAAAACTAATAATCCAAATTACTATCATCTTACGCACTTGTTCTCAATCCTGATTATACATCAAAATAACCTGTGAGGTCAATCAAATACAGATACCTAAACCAAAACCCAAACATACTAAATCAAAAAGTTGACAAAGTTGGGGCCCAGGCACCTCTGTTTTAAATTAAGCTCAAAAGATTAATGTAGTAGACATTGTTGGCTGCCCACCTTTTTTCCTTATCAGAATCCTAATTTTAAAAATTATGTCTTCTGCCCCTATATATACCCCATGCCTCAGAGGAAGAGGATTCTACTTCCAGCTCCAATAGACCTGACTGGCCTAAGGGTTATTCCATACTCTGCCAGTAACTGGCTTGGGGATAGACAGGTCTAAGCCACTTTAGATCAATGAGAACCAAGGATTTGGTGGCAAATTCTGGGAAAGCTTTTGCATATTAAGAGAGGACCCCAGGAATCCAGCCTGACTTCTCCACTGCATGTAAATGAAGATGCACACGGCCCCAACTGCTACTGGCAATCATCCCATAACCACGAGGGTAGCCAGCCGCAGGATGATGCCAACACTGCAGTTGAAAACGGGAGAAAAAACTCCAGAGGTTCTTGGTGACACTGCTGAATCACTGGATTACAAATACTGAAGCCCATTCTATCAACAGACTTCATGCATAATGACTGAATTCATTTTCTTATTGTTAAGTCATTTTAAGTTGAATTTTTAGTTATTTGCATCTGAAACCTCAAGAGTGGTTCCAGTACAGCATTCTTTCAACCATAACAATCTGTATTAAGTAGAAACCACACAAACATCTTTTCATATTTAATCTGTAAATCTGAGATTGATTTATCTTCGGTTTTAACAAAGAATGAATCTTTAAAAAAATAATTTATATCTTGTTATACTTTTCCAATATTTGAGCTGAACTGTATTTAAAAGTTTATATTCATTGCACTCACTTCATGATTTACTCAAAGTTTCTGCTGTAGGCTTTGTCTTGAATGTGTAAGACCATTCGCCGTGCATAGAAGTCCCTGTATTCCTCTGGTAATTCAGCCAGTGTTTTTAAGGCTCTGTCCAGAATTTGTGCAGCTCTTGATGCTGCTGTAGGATCTTTGTTTCCATAGGTATCTGTTTTATCATAGCATTCAGACGGAAGGTGCTTCCAAAAGACATTCACTCCCACTCCAAACTCTTCAGAAATTACATTATGGAACCATAACGCTGGAGAAAGTTTAAAAAAACAAGTTAAAAATAAAATCTACAGTTTAAAAAAAACCAAAATGTCAGTGAAATATCACGAATTGCATATAGCCAATGTAAGAAAGAATTCTTGTAACTAGATCCCTTCGTTAGCACACTCCCAGCTTTTAAAAGAATCATGTTAACTTTTATGAATTGCCAACCAATTTAAAGTGTCAATAGCACAACCCTACGTTTGAAACCTTTGGAAGTAGCAATTTTTCCTTTTAACTTGAAAGACATCATAAAGTTGTAGTTGTTTCGTAGTTCTGTAATTCGGTACTGTGTTTGTGTTACTTGTTTATACTTCCTGAGTCACACAACCACATCAAAAGTGTTTATTTTGTGTACACAGAACATTTCAATTATATGAGGAGTATCTTTAACCTTTTCTGACTCAGTACAGTACTTTTGCTCTCCAAGACTTCCTGTTCAAGCTGCATTTGGTTTTCTAACTTGCTTAAATTTGCATTCATTGTAGCCGCCTCAGTTTTATATTGGTAATGCAATTATAATTGTCTCATATTTCTTTCAGCTCCTTTACAATAAGTATATAAAACTAGAGCAAATATTTTGGTGGTGGTGAAGATGAGTAGACTTTATCATATTATACAGCTAATTAATTTTTTACTTCCACTAGAAAGTTTACTTTTTTGTTTTCAACTGAGTCTAAACGTTTTCAAAATATAGGTAATACAGAATACTAAAGCAATATAACAAAGATGAAATACTAGTCACATCAAAGAAATGTTTAATCTTGTAAAAGGGAGAAAGGAAGATTTACACAATGCTAAATTTTAGAAACAAACTCATTCTAAGAGTGCTCTAGGAAAAATAAAAGCTTAAAATATTTTGATTTGCAAAACTAGTTTTCAAACATGGTTTTAATCTTAACTACTCTTTCTTTCAGAATCTTTTTTTTCCTTATTCAATATAACAGGGAAAAAAAGCTAAGCATTCTGTTAAATTTAAAGCCAAAGATGGGGCTTTTGCTTTTACTTCAAATATATGCAAATGTTCAGTATTTCTCGCTTTTTTTTTTTCCTTTTTTTCCCTTTAAGTTGTATACAGAATAAGAGAAAATGGCATAGTCCTTAACCATACTCTGAGCATACAAAAACCAAAAATTTAAATACTGGCAGTGAATTTCAAGACTAGTGTGCTGGTTGTTTTCAATGAATGAATATAAGAATACGAAGTTAATGTATCAAATTTTTGTAGACAATTATGTGAAGGACACTATCAGGCCCCTTGGGGAATACAAAGATTAACAAAACATGGTCCTTGCCCTCAAGGAATTTATAATCTAGCCCCTAATGAGGGCATCATATTTTTATTAATACTTTTTTACTTAATTCTATCACTGGAAAGAGGTATTAATGATTATATGAATTTAGATGTGGCAAATACAACTACAGGCATACCTCACTTTCTTGTGCTTCACAGATACTGTGTTTTTTACAAATTGAAGGTTTGTGGCAACCCCGTGTTGAGCAAGTCTAGCAGCACCATTTTTCCAACAGCATGTGCTCACTTCGTGTCTGTGTATCACATTTTGGTAATTCTCTCAATATTTAAAACTTTTTCATTATTATTATATTATGATCTATGACCAGTGATCTTTGATGTAACTATTATAATTGTTTGGGGGCACCATGAACTGCGCCCACAAGATAGTGAACTTAATCAATAAATGTGTGTGTTCTGACTGTTCCACCAATTGGCCGTTCCCCCATCTCTCTCCCTCTTCTCAGGCCTCCCTATTCCCTGAGACACAACAATATTGAAATTAGGCCAATTAATAACCCTACAATGGCCTCTAAGAGAGTAAAGTCACACATCTCTCACTTTGAATCAAAAGCTAGAAATGATTGAATTAGTGAGGAAGACATGTCAAAAGTCAAGACAGGCCGAAAGCTAGGCCTCTTGCACCAAGCAGTTAGCCAAGCTGTGAATGTAAAGGAAAAGTTCTTGAAGGAAATTAAAAGTGCTACTCCAGTGAACACACGAATGATAAGAAAGTGAAACAGCCTTACTGCTGATATGGAGAAAGTTTTAGTAGTCTGGATAGAAGATCAAACCAGCCACAACATTCTCTTAAGCCAAAGCCTAATTCAGAGCAAGACTCTAACTCTTCAATTCCATGAAGGCTGCGAGAGGTAAGGAAGCTGCAGAAGAAAAGGCTGAAGCTAGCTAAGGTTGGTTCATGAAGTTTAAGAAGTTGTCTCCATAACAAAAGTGCAAGGGGAAGCAGCAAGTGCTGATTAGAAGCTGCAGCAAGTGATCGAGAAGATCTAGCTAAGATAATTCATGAAGGTGGCTACACTAAACAACACATTTTCAATGTAGATGAAACAGCTTTATTTTGGAAGAAGATGCCATCTGGGACTTTCATAGCTAGCGAGAAGTCAATGCCTGGCTTCAAAGGACAGGCCGACTCTCTTATTAGGGGCTAATGAGCTGGTGACTTAAAGTCGAAGCCAATGCTTATTTACCATTCTGCAAATCCAATCTGCAAATTAAGAATTATGCTAAATCTACCCTGCCTGCGCTCTATAAATGGAAAAACAAAGTCTGGATGACAGAACATCTGTTTACAACATGGTTTACGCAATAGTTTAAGCCCACTGTTGAGACATACTGCTCAGAAAAAAAATGATTCCTTTCAAAATATTACTGCTTATTGACAATGTACCTGGTCACCCAAGAGTTCTGATGGAGATGTACAATGAGATTAATGTTGTTTTCATGCCTGCTAACACAACATCCATTCTGCAGCCTATGAATCAAGGAGTAATTTTGACTTTCAAGTCCTATGATTTAAGAAATACATTTCGTAAGGCTATAGCTGCCATAGATAGTGATTCCTCTGATGGATCTGGGCAAAGCAAATGGAAAACCTCCTGGAAAGGATTCACCATTCTTGATGCCATTAAGAACATATGTGATTCGTGGGAAGAGGTCAAAATATCAACATTAACAGGAGTACGGAAGAAGTTAATTCCAACCCTTATGGATGACTTTGAGGGATTTGAGACTTCAGAGGAGGAAGTAACTGTAGATGTGGTGGAAACAGCTAGAGAACTAGAATTAGAAGTGGATCCTGAAGATGTGACTGAATTGCTGCAATCTCATGATAAAACTTTCATGGATGAGGAGTTGCTTCTTATGGGTGAGCAAAGAAAGTAGTTTCTTGAGACGGAATCTACTTCTGGTGAAGATGTCGTGAAGATCGTTAAAATGACCACAACGGATTTAGAATATTACATAAACTTATTTGATAAAGCAGCAGGGTTTGAGAGAGCTGACTCCAATTTTGAAAGAAGTTCTACTGCGGGTAAAAAGCTGTCAAACAGCATCACATGCTACAGAGAAATCGTCCATGAAAGGAAGAGTCAATAGAGGCAGCAAACGTCATTGTTGTGTTATTTTAAGAAATTGCCACAGCCACCCCACCTTCAGCAACCACCACCCTGATCAGTCAGCAGCCATCAACATCAAGGCAAGACCCTCCACCAGCAAAAAGATTATGACTCGCTGAAGGCTCAGATGATGGTTAGCGTTTTTTAGCGATAAAGTATTTTTAAATTAAGGTATGTACATTTTTTTTTAGATATAATGCTACTGCACACTTAACAGACTACAGTATAACATAAACGTAACTTTTATACGCACTGGGAAACCAAAAAATTTGTGTGACTCACTTTATTGCAATATTTGCTTTATTTGCATGGTCTGGAACCAAACACACAATATCTTCAAGGGATGCTTTTACATAAATAGAATTTGTTAATGCATCCCTTTAATCTTAATTATGACTTTTATAATCTTCAGGTATTCACTTCTGAATAATAATTACCAGTGTTAATTACATTATTGATTACTAACTACAACTAATGCCTATTTATTGTACAAAGAAATTTAGTGACATTAATTCAGACTAGAAAAGTAATGTACACAAAAGACATCATAGGTGCTAAGATTATAACATTTTGATATCTAATAAAATCTCTAATGTGTTTTGGCTTTGAAATATATTGACCATTTCTTAGTAAATACTTAAGTGACATAGTGACCAAATAAAATGATTAAAGAACAACCAAGTATAATCTTTTCCAAGATATAAAGTATCTTGCTTGCTTTCATCTAATAAAATAACTTAGAGTATAATAATATTATATTTACAGGTTGCCTTTGAAAAACAAGACTGGTAGTTTTATAAGAATTTGCCTAAGCATACTTTAAATACACACACACAGTTGTGTATAAAAATCATTCTGTATAGGACAGGATACACATAACAAATATACTTTTGTACTAAAAAATCATATAATGGATGAGTGACAGAGTACAGAATTTATAAACAGCAAATTATTGATGTCTAGAAATCTTACCAGGAATGAATAATACATCTCCAGCTTTAAGGGAACATTCATACCTTCTAGCCTTAGAAAACAGTGGATATTTATCTAAGTCTGGGTTATCTATATTCAGTACTTCTGATTTAGTACCTGAAAAGTTCCAAAAAAGGATAACATAGAATAAGCAAAGTTATCATTTTTTAAAAAGTAATCACAAATATAAATTTGAAAATTTATTCTTTTGTGTACAATTACTTACTATAGCTTACACTGTGAGAACAATTACTATTCTCCTGAAACCTCAGTCAATTTTCAATGACCTACCCTTTATTTACAACCATTGACATCTATGTAATATAATTAAGAAAATCTGAAAATCTCATTCTTCATATACCTATCATTACATGTATACAATGGAGAACACAATACATCATAATTAGAAAGAAGCCCCCAAATTTTTTTCTATGAGAATAAAGAGATTTCTCAAAAAGAGTAACTGAATAAAATAGACTTCAGAAATATAAACTTAAAAAAAAGTACCTGATAAATATAAATACTGGGCATCTCGAGGACTGAATAGCACAACACGCTTTTTTCCTGTCACTTGTATTAAGAAGTTATCCATTACCTGAAGACCAATGAGAACTTATGGATAAGCAGTATCTAAAATTCAAATAAATAGAACCAATGGTATTCTGAACAGTTAACAGTAAATCTTATCCTTTAATAAGACTTGACTCAACGTTATCTAAAACTCTTATAATAATATTCTAATCTAACAATGAAAACTTTCATATTCCAAATACAACTGTGCCTTTATTAAAGATATTTCTGCAGCACTGCCTTAAAAGGGGAAGGATTGGCAAGCCATCAGGAACTCTGCCATCAGGAAACTATCTGCCCTTGCCCCAGCATGAGGACAGTGAGGGCAGTTACCCCCACCTGAGGCTCCCCTGGTTAGCAGCTATCCTTTACTTATGTGTCAAGGTGCGCTGTGAGGCCACATCTGACAGCAGTGAAAGCACTTAGCAAGGTCAGGGGTTGGGAAGTACCAGGTGCTGCTGCAGCCACTGCCCAACTCTTAACACAAGGCCAACCATACTTTGGCTGTAGGTATCTTGATTTCTAGATTATTTCTATAGGACTATAACCTGGCAAATTTTCTTGATGTACTTATTAATGGAGCAATCGACTCTTCCTGTGTGTGCAAGGGTATACTTTGTTGGTACAGACTGTGAAAAATGTTAAAAGGCAGAGCTACATAATTCTCAGCAAAGGAGTTAAAATATTTACTAAGCAAGATACATTCGTGATTATTTACATATCACTTCTACCTAAATGTTTCTCCTTTTACCACTAATACTTTTACTTATGTAAACCTTAACTATATAACTAGCATCCCTTTGACTTCTTTTTAATTTAAGAAAAACTTTATAATATTCCATCATAACTCAAGATAAAAGGGATACTACTTAAAATTTAAAATACAGTCAGGGGGCCGGCCCGGTGGCGCAAGCAGTTAAGTGCATGCACTCTGCTGCAGCGGCCCGGGGCTTGCCGGTTCGGATCCCGGGTGCGCACCGACACCCCACTTGTCAGGCCATGCTGTGGCAGCATCCCATATAAAGTGGTGGAAGATGGGCATGGATGTTAGCCCAGGGCCAGTCTTCCTCAGCAAAAAGAGGAGGATTGGCAGATGTTAGCTCAGGGCCGATCTTCCTCACACACACACAAATACACTCAGAATAAAGTTAAAAATGTATCTGAGTTATCATATCATTTTCTCACCATATCATTCATGTAAAACCTTTAAAAAATAACATGCCAAGATTTTATGTCTATCTCATTTAATTACAGAGTTACTATGTTAAAACCCTCCCAAGAGGTCCTCAGCTGAATTATAAAACACAATTATAAAACTTCATATAGTTTGATTTAGAACTTTCTAAAAAATTCTTTTATCTTTAGAAATCTATTAGGTATTGCTTTAACTGCCTAAATTTCTCCACCTAACACCAAATCATACAGAATACTAGATTTTTAATGTTTTTAAAATATTTATAGGCACATATTTAAGTAAATAAAATTATAATACCATAAATGATCAATATTCTACACACCTTGCGGATCAACAAATACAGCAGACAGTTGACATTCTCAAAGGACATATATCCTAAGACCATCAGATTCTTAAAATTGGAAATGGCTTTCTACAAGCTTCTCCCTTTCTCCTGAATAACAGTTCCATCTAATCATGTGTATCATTTCAACATCTTCATATCACAACCTTATCACTTTTTTCACTTTCACAATTTTCCCTCTCATCTGGTGGCCATTTTTCACATGTAAAAAAAATCACTTCAGAAAACTTAGTATATATACATATGATGATAAATCAAGAACAAGACCACACAGAAATGTAACTATGAGGAACTCACTAGGCTCTGGCATTAGCTAAATAATCACTCCCATGTCATCGCCTTGCAGAGCACCTGCTTTCAAACCTTATGTTTCCCACATTACCTGTCAAAGACCTTTAGGGTAGCCTAAAGAAAGTTGAAACTGTGAATATTAAATCTATAAATCCTAAAGATCTACTAGAGCTTTAGATTTCTCATTTATGTAGCATACATCATAGTGGGTCCAAAGTTGTAATCCTGGTGAGCTAATTCGAAAAACACTGGAAAAGAACTGCTCCTCTTTGAAGAATTTTGGAAACTTAATATCTCTTTCCAATAAAGGAAACTGCTTTCTGATATCTGCAACATCCTGCATTGAGAGAAACATAGTAAGAATTTTAATAATAAACACAATATTGGCATAATGCTTATTTTATCTAAGGCTGCCCTCAGAGCCCATGATATTGAGGAATGGAGCAAAACTCTGTTCACTGCTTTAAAACACTAGGCTGTGACCACAGCCAACACGTGATCTTTCAGATGAAGGAAAAACAGACTGTAAGGAGACTGCAGGTTCAACAGTATCACTACTGTTAAGCTTAATATGCTTCATGAATAGAAAGGGTCTTCCTACTTTAAGCAAGAATCATACAACTCTCATCTACTCGAATATTAACTATTTTAAGTTTAGGAGTCAACAACTTGAACTTTATCAACTATGTAAAATCTGTGAGTTTGAGGGAGAATAAAAGAAGGTAAAGAAGTAAATAGTGAGATACAGGGAAAAAATATAATCTTGATCGTTTTAGGGACCACTCCTTAACACTGTAGCCATATTAATTTGACTCTGAATACATGTCAAAGCTTATATAATGAATTATTCAGAATGTTTATAATTATTTTAGATATTTTATTAGCTGAATGGCCATCTGTAACATATACAGCAGCAAGGATTTCTTAATTGTGTAGAGATTAGAGCAGATGACTCTAAACACTAAGATTCTATGGTCCTACTTGAAAACTAATCAACTTTTAATAATCTTATTTATTCAAGGGCACAAATCATTGAGAAAAGAATGGAAAAGGATATAACAGGTTATATGTCAGGCAGTAAGTATAAAAATTACAGTGCCAGTGAAAATATACACATCCATTTAGGTTTTAAGCAACTGTTTTACTTTCAGAATTCTTACCTTTCTAGGGTCTTCCCCAAGTGACCGTAAGTAGTACTTCTCATCCTTAAACATCCCAAAGAAAAAGAACATCAGTACTGACTTAAAAATATTACAAAGTAAAGACATTAGGAAACGAGTCTTAAAATCTAACCCAGCCAAGTCGTTTTTGAACAAGTTCCATTTTCTTACCCTTTCTGCTAATGCTCTCTGGTGGCCACCTGAAGAAATGTCTTTATATGCTGCATGTAATAACGACTGGGTCCACAACACGTTACAGAAAATAGATTCTAAAGGCAGCACACACACCCACATATAAATCCACAATGCTTAATTTAGACTTTATACTCCAAATTATTTAGACTCTCAACAGTGTTTTAAGACTTAAAAGAATTCCCATTTGTATTGCACACATGATCTCAAGGTATTGTTGAGGGCCAACAATAAACTTCTTTAATACAAGACAAATGTAGAATAGGAGATAAATAAAATATACTTTTTCTTTTTTTGGTGAGGAAGATTAGCCCTGAGCTAACATCTGTTGCCAATCCTCCTCTCTTTGCTGGGGAAGACTGGCCCTGGGCTAACATCTGTGCCCATCTTCCTCCACTTCATATGTGGGACGCCTGCCACAGCATGACTTGATAAGTGGTGTGTATGTCTGCACCCAGGATCCGAACCTGCAAACACCAGGCCACCGAAGTGGAGCATGCAAACCCAACCAATATGCCACTGGGCTGGCCCCAAAATATACTTTTAATAATAAATTAAAAAAAAATCTAGAACACTGCATTTTATCAAGCTACGCCTATCCCTGATCATAAAAATTCTCATTTCATGGTAGTAAATTTAAGTTGATATTTTAAAAACTTGTCAATTATACTTCACTGAGTAGCTACAATAGGGAACTGTTTGAATTATAAAACATTACTGTTGCCTGCATTTCCTAGAAGAATTAGAGAATTGAGATATACCAGGTCAAGCACAGGGACAATCCAACTCAAGAATTCTGCCTCTTTTATATCTACATTGACTATTATAACACAAACTTCAAAATATATCTTATTTACCTTAACAACATAAATCTACGATCATAAATTTAACTAAACTCTTAGATTCACTGTTTTTATATTTTTAGCTAGTAGTATATCAGATAAGTTCTATAAATTTATTACTGGCTAAACAGGTTTCAAAATATGTTCCTAAAAATTCTAAGAGTTTTCTACCAGTTGTAATGTTTCAGGATTTCAAAAATAAATTCATGCGGCAGATACAGAAATGCACTGTTCAGACCCTGTCAAGAAAGGATTCATTGCTTAGTTGCAAGGAGTGAGATTAACTTCCAGCTGCCAGCTGTTAACTGCTTCAGGTCCACCTCAGCCTTTGAACCAAGGTCATGCTCTTCTTGGAGTAGCCTCAACCAATGTCTGAGCAAGATGGCAAAAGGCCTGGACATTGCTACCCAACACAGGACTCCTCTAACAGGCCGTCTTTGCTCAAGAGTTCCACGCTGCGCTGGCAGAGACTCTGTCAGATCTGCCTTGCCGTCTGATGGCTTCCCCTACCCAATCCTCCCCATTCCTTTGACAGGTATTACTCCCCAGTCAGCCTTTTGCACTCCTAATTCCATCTCAGGATCTGATTCATGGAGGACCAAACTGACAGACCACAGTCATCTTATTTCCATACTTTCCATAATTTTTAGACTTTACTCCTTTGTCCTGTCTCTTTATTTCTTTTACTGCACTTGACATTTCATAGCTATTTAAATCTGTGCGGCTCATTACCCTTGGACAGGAAAGTACCAAAGGACAACTGAACATACGTGTTAAAGCGTGGCTATAAAATTAAAAAACATCCGTCAGGAACAGCTAATGAAATCAGTTTTAGTAGACAATTCCAGTCATACTATAGAATCACAGACCTGCAGAGTTTGTAGGGATCCTGGCGGTAATCTAGTGTAACCATTACCTGAGGAGAGAAGTGTGAAAACGTACCGCCTTTTACAGTCAAAATGACCACCAGCCCACTGGCTCAAATGCAGACAACAGCTTCACTCAAAGCTCAAAAAGCAGTTTATTTTTGAAATGTGCTTCTGAGATAACACAGTGAATTTATTTTAAATGTATTTTTTAAAAATGTATAAGCCTCAACACCTTATCTCAAGATATTTAAATTGAATTATTTAAAGCTAGATTATAATGTAAATAAGTAGAATTCTTCTGTATTTAATCCTGAAATGTCATAGCAAATACACACAACAGAAATCACATTGATAATAACTAACAATAATAAATATAGAAATCCTCTATTAGTCAATAAGATAAGAAAATAAAGTTCTCCATTAGCATTTGAACTTGGCATATCAGATCAACAGAGTTTCAAAGGAAGTGATGTTAACAGCTAACATTTAGTAAGCAGTTTCTACTATGTCAGGCACTGTGCTAAGTACTCTACAGACTTTATTTAGCTAACTGTTAGAAAAATCTTATAAAATAGGTACTGTTATTAATCCTACTTTATAGATGAGTAGACAGAGACACAGAAAAATAATTTGGCCAAAGTTTGAGATCTAATAAATAGAGCTAGGATCTATGGCATATACAACCAAACCTTAAGAATAGCTATTGGAGAAGGCTACAGCTCTTGATATCCAATGTTCTTTTACAAGAAAATCCATCTGAAATAGATATTAATACTTTCTAAAGAAAATATGTTAAAATCAATTACCTCTGAAATAAAGAATTCTTCATGCTTTTCTTCAGCTGCTCTCTGAACCAACTTGTCAAAAGGTAATGTTCTAAAATAAACACAAAAGAATCCTTAGACTTAATAATAATAAATCAACTAGTAATACTCTAATCACTATATACATAGGCTTGCTGGAGTTGGATATGCTCTTCTGTTTTACAATATCCACAGTTTTTATTATAACTTATTATGTGGAGTTCTAAATTTCCAAAATTCATTTAGTGGTATTGACATAGGTTGTCTGAAATTTTGATTTCAAAAATTAAAGATTTTTAAATCTATGGTACAGATGGATCCTTCTCATATGTCAATATCCTCCTATTCCAAGTTACTATTAGAAAAATGTTTCTATGGTATCTGGTTACCTTTGGAAACACACAAACTTTCAAGCTCTTAGTGCTACCTATTTTCAAGTGTCATGGCAAAACAAGTCTTGTGATGAATGGGGCAAACTACTACTCTAACTTTGGGAGACACTAGGCAAATGGTCCAATGACCAAATGGTCCCTCTCACCGATCTGCCTGCCTTTTAGCACTACCACAGAACACGGAAGCCTGTAACCCTGCTCTCATCCTCCGGCACCACCCTCGGTCATTTTAAGACAGATTCTGAGGGATAGCTCAAGGAGAATTCCAGTGAAGTGACCAAGTTTTATTCTTCTTCAATATTTCTGCCCAAATGCCTATCTCCTTCCATCCTGGTGAACAGGGCTGAACATCGTAGAAGCAAAGTTTTTCTCGTCTACCTCACACTCTTAAGCCTGGAGGGCTGTCTTTTCTTCGGGTCCCTTCCTATCCCTTCAAGCTTCTAGAATCAAAAGTAGTGCCCCCTACATGAAGATGACACCTTATCAGTAACATCAAGACAATGAAGTCCTCAAAAGCATCTTGGTCAAAAGCCTCTCCCTGCCTCTCCCCTCACACTGCCCTGCAGCCTCCAAACCTCTGATGAGGAGTTGTAAATCTTTTCACTCTTAATATCAAATATCTTTCCACTTGAAATCTGTACTGGGGAGGTGGGGAGAAAGCAAAACCCTTTCTCCTTTATAAGATGACCTTGGGCTTACCTTCTCCTAGCAGTGTTTTCCTGGAAACACACTGGGTTAAGATAAATATGGAATGTCAGCTGTGATATCAGGTAACAGTGTTTATTGTAAAAATGACCCTTGACTGGTGAACTACGTCTGGACCAGAAGGCTGGTGAGTGGACAATAAACACTCGTCAGGAAGCAGAGGATTCGGCCTTCCTGTGTGCAGTGTAACTCTTGTAACTGAGTACGTCCCTTGGAATCTAGAAGCTAAGTTCATGGCTGTTTCATGCTACTGGTGTCTGTGGACTATGGGACTTAACTAAGCTAGGATGTTTCTGTACCCACCTCTATGGTCTTGTTCCCTCACCACCAAGGTCTCACTTAGTGAATCAAAAAATGGCTCCTGGATTGGTATAAGGACTCCCCCTGATACTACCCCACTAGAATACTGTTTCCTGCCTTGTATCCTTTTGCAAAGTTAAGTGAATCTGATGCCAGATTATAGACAAGTGGGTCCTATGAGCCTGAATGTCAATCTGAACTTGAGGACACTGCTAGTAATTACATAGAGTGAGCACTATAAGAGAGAAGAAAGGAGACTGCCATCTATTCAGACTAATCTCCTACTATAGTTTCTGACTAATTATATCAACAAATTTCTTGGCATCCTCCTATTCAATGTTTTCCATCTCTGACCTCACTGTGTACCCTTCATTCCTACCAAAGTATCTTTGAAGAGTTTGAGAATAATGTGGAAGCCTCTCTGGCCCAGAGCTACCTCTGTAATTGGTACAGCTGCCCAGGCTTAGCTTTTCTTCCTAGAACCCAGAAGTGTTTCCAGACCTTTACAAGAACAGGGCAGACAGAGTAGCTCAGTCCAGAGAAGCAGAACTCGGGTGCCCACAGCAACCTTCTCCCTTAGGCAGTGCTACCTGTCAGAGCTTCTGCAGAAGCCAGGCTGAGAGGGGGTGGGGTGAAGTATATGAATTGGAAAGTTCCTTGGCCTCAGGGTCTTATCTATTCTGTGCACGTTTCATAAAGAAGGGCGTGTGCTATTGATGCTGCATTTGTCTGGACTGGCACACAGACCAGGAAGGGAGGTAGTATCAAAGAGGGGTTAGGATCCCGGGCTCCATGCAGTCAGGCAAATCTGGCTATAAGTCCAGCTCCCGTCAGTTTGAGCTATATGATCTTGGGTGAGTTTTTAAACCTCCGTTTTCTCATCTGTATAATTATAAAAAAAACTACTTCACAGATTGTTCTGACCTTTAAATGAGTAATATAATCTAGGATGTTTGGCACAGTACCTGATACATAGTAAGTGCTCAATAAAGGACAGATGGTGGGGTTAATGACAATGATAATGTACCCTTTAGCAGCATGCAAGTAGTTACCAACATTCAAAAAAAGAAAAAAATCGTCACTGTCCTGTTCCCCATTTGCAAAGGCTGCTTTGCAAAATCAAGATCAGGATGAACATATAATAAACAATAAGAGCAGGATGATGACAGGAATTAGAGGATGTGGTAGGGAGAGGCAGCAAAGCAAAGCTTATATAAGATTCAGACTTTTTAAAAAAAATCTATGACCAGACGAATACCAACAATACCCTTTCAGCAAACAAGGCTCTTCCTGTTCACAGCATCCTGACTCTCGAAGAACAGTGAGAGCTACCAAGAAGAAAGAAGTAAAAGCTAAGACTTGGAAATGTATTGACCTTCCAGTGTTTAATAAGCAGAAATGTAACCTTCACCTGAAGTGACAATGACAGATGTGTGTAGGACTTCTTACTTTCTAGTCTCCCTTTGGCCTAGATGCCTCCCTTCTTTCCTACTCCCTCGTAACTGCTAAAAATGACTAAATCTATTTTCTTTCTTGCACTAAGAAAATCTTGCAACTCTTTAGTAGCTCTAGTGAAAGGCTTCGAGAAAGCTGGGATAGGAACTATTACATAATATATGTGCTTCAAAAACAAGTTTTGAAAAGTTTATAGGACATGACAGCACAGCAAAGCAATTCAAGATGAAGTTTCAATACCCACTTGTTATGGCATTTAGACTCTCTGGAAAATAAATATCATTAATTGCTGGAATATGCCCATCATTCCAGCACTTTCTTCATTTAATAAAAATGAAAAGTTCTTACACTTGGAAAAACTTATGGCAATTAAATTAAATTCATGGCCTATTAAAAACCAAAATTATAATGGTGAATATTCAAGGGATCAAAAACTGAGAAATGCTTTGGCAAGCTTCTAAATGAGTGTGGAAAACTCTAATGAGAAAGGAAGGGCCTGGACATTAGCCGCTCTGTTTAACTCATCTCTAAACTCTGGAAGGAAGAGTGGGAGCTACCTTTCTTGAAAAATTAGTCTTTTGTGAACTACATGGCTTTTCAATAGATTAAATTTGCTGGGAACTGCATGTGCTCAGAATTCGAAAGTTATTTGTTTTTTAATTTAACATTTTTAAATGAAACTCATGAGAATAAACTCATGGGAATAAATAGCATATTAAATCTATGAGATTAGAGCATTTAAAGCTTTCAAGTTTAGACATTCAGCAGCTTTTAGCTATCTCTTATTTACTTTTAAGAGATCTCAAAGCATAAAATGACAGCCATGAGGGAAATTAAAAGTATTTAAAATTATTTTGTCAAAAGGGAAAATTAAGCATGGTTTTCTAGTTATCCAAGTTGATGAAAGATTCTACCAAACATAGCAACTACTTGTCCTATATTTTTGGAGAGGGCAGAAAAAGAAAACATGGGCTTATACTTACCTAAAAACAATTTGGAATTAGAAAATCTTCCAAAAATAAGGGCATCAAAAATCAAAATAGGTTATGAAGGAAAACTTTAGAAATTTTTACTCTAGATAACAATTACTAATGTGGTAGGATCAATTAATTAATGAAGTGTTGAATGAATACAGCACACCCAACTTTAGGTATAATCTAACTCTAGGTCTCTTTTCCTTCTGTGACTCCAGAAGGTAGTGTATACACCCTATTTAAAAAATGGTCTTCGGGGGCCAGCCTGGCGACATAGTGGTTAAGTTCGCACGCTCTGCTTCAGTGGCCCCGGGTTCTCAGGTTCGGATCCTGGGCGCAGACCGTCGAGCCATGCTGTGGTGGCATCCCACATAAAGTAGAGGAAGATGGGCACAGATGTTAGTCCAGGGCCAATCCTTCTCAGCAAAAAGAGAAGGATTGGCATCAGATGTTAGCTCAGGGCTAATCTTCCTCACAAAAAAAAAAGGTCTTTGGAAATGTCTTTGTATAATTATGTAAACTCAGAATTCTTGTCTTTTAAAAGCCATTCTTTAAAAATTAATAAGCTATTCCATGATTATAACAAGCTAGCTGAAAGATGAAATGCCATATGGTCTTTGTATAATAATGCAAAAATATTTTAAAGGCTTTAAAAGTTAGCTTAGAAGAAAATACCTATACACAAAGTTCTTACTAATGAAGTCCATCTGGGCAACCGCAGCGACATGAATCTTCACTTCTTTCCTCCCCCCGGCTTGACTCAGGTAATCCACTGTCCATCTGCTTGTACATGCCCCCAAATCAATTCCTTCCAACACCAGAGGTTTTCTCTGTAAGTGGGGAAAAAAATATAACAAAAAATTAGGGAAAACCAACAATACGCCAGGAGTTATATTTCGCAATAAAGGGACAAAAACAAATAAGAAATGATTCTTGATCCCAAAATGCTCAAACTCAAATCTTTGGACAATTCAGGCTGTAACTACAATAGGAAGAGGACTCATGTAATATACTTAGAACAAAATTTTAACATTAGGAAAACAAAATCAAACACAGCAGCAGTACCATCAAGAGCTTAGAAACAAGAGAAATCTGAATATCATTTAAAGAATTTTCATAGTGTTATGACAAAAAATATAAATGATTAAAATTTGTACTTTATAGTCAAATATTGTTTGTAACTTTATTTTCATATCATTTTGAACTATGGAACAGTTACAAGAACATTACAAAGAACTCCCATCAACCCTTTACCCTGATTTGCCAACTGTTAATTTAACATTTGCCCCACTTACTTACCATCTCACTCTCACTGTGTGTGTATAGACAGGGACATATTATTAAAGATAATTCAATTTTTTCTGAACTATTTCAGGGTAAGTTGCTGACATCATGCTCTTTTATATTTAAAAACTTGAACAAATTTCCTGAGAACCAAGACATTCTCTTATATAACCACAGGATAATTATCAAAATTATATTTAACACTGCTATAATACTATTATCTAACCCACAGTCCTTATCCAAATTTTGCTAATTGTCCCAATAATGTCTTGGATGGTTATTTTTTTTACCTATTTCTGAGATGCCACATTGCATTTAGTTGCCATGTCTCTTCGAATCTGGAAGAGACCTCAGCCTCTTTCTTCCATGACCTGACATTTTTGAAGAGGACAGGCCCATTGTTTCATAGAACGCCCTTATTTCTTCATGATCAGATTCAGGTTATGCATTTTGAGAAGGAATGTACCACAGAAGCACTGTCGGGTCCTTCTCACACATCAGGTGGCACAGGATCTTTTGCCCTATTATTTGTGATATTAATTTTGATCAATTGCTAATTCCTGTCTGAATTAAGTATTGCTATGGTGAGTGGAAAAATCATGATTTTTTAAAAACTTTATCTTCATCTACTTTCACTAGTTGGCATTCTAACGTCAAAATGAGCTCTAACTTCCCCATTTATTTATTTTATTCACTGGGTTATAATCTATTAATATAATTTTGATGCTCAAATTATACCAGATTTTGCCAATAGGAGCCCCTTCAAGCTGGTTTTTGTAACTTTTTACCTGAGCACTTCCTTACTTTATGGCCAAATAACACAATCCAGCATCCTTTTATACTTTCCCTGCCCCAGCCCTACAGTCATTTCTTCAAGCAGCTCTGGTTTCTCTTAGTGAGGAATGCTATTTAGAAATGATGATCTGGGGGCTGTGTGTTCATTGTTATTGGGGTGTCATTACTTCTAGGCCAGAAGCTAGGAAATATGTGAAGGGGTGTGTATACTCACTCCCCCTCTCCCCAAATATATACATACACACACACATACCGTATATGCATATACCTGTATCTATTTCTCTCTCTCTCTCCATATATACATATATACTATACACACACACACACACTTAATGGATCTATATATGAACCATGATAGCCCCAATGTTGACACCTCCAATGCCAATCTTATACCACAAGATTCATTCTAATCTTTATTGTTTATATATTTGTAACTCCCTTCCCTAACAGTGAGAAATCTGGTTCCTATCATCCTCAATGCTTAAACAACTGCACAATCCCAGAATTGACAATAAGTACCTTCACAATTGCTAAGTCAAACCATTGTAAAAAAACAAGGCTACTAACTAGAATTCAGTATTTGTTTACAGTTTTTTGTCTTTAAACTGAAAACATATAATTGAAGTACTACGTTCAAAAGTGACATGGGTACTTACATTCACTTGTTTTTTTATACTCTATATTAGAATTTTGGTTTTTTTTGTGTGAGGAAGATCAGCCCTGAGCTAACATCCATGCAATCCTCCTCTTTTTGCTGAGGAAGACTGGCCCTGAGCTAACACCCGTGCCCATCTTCCTCCACTTTATGTGGGACGCCGCCACAGCATGGCTTGACAAGCAGTGCATCAGTGTGCGCCCGGGGTCCGAACCCGGGCCGCCAGCAGCAGAGTGCACACACTTAACCGCTACGCCATGGGGCTGGACCCAAGAGTTTTGTTTTTTAAAATCATTACTTGTCCTATTAATTTTATTATTACTATTACTTTAGAATGTAAAACATTAATGTGATCACTAAAGTCAAAACTATACAAAAAGGTCATCCCATCCACATTCTTCTACCTCATACTCACTCACCCCCTAGAGATAACTAGTCTCAATGTCTGGCTTATCATTCCTGTATTTCTTTTTTGCAGGGTGATCAAAAACATATATGCTTCCTTATTTCCCCTTCTTTTTTACACAAAAAGTGGTATATTATGTATTATCCTTTGTAATTTGCTTTTTTTTATTTAAAAATATACCCTGGAGGGCCGGCCCTGTGGCTTGGTGGTTAAGTGCGCGCGCTGCAATGCTGGTGGCCCGGGTTCGGGTCCCGGGTGCGCATCAAGGCACCACTTCTCCGTCCATCCTGAGGCCGAGTCCCACATACAGCAACTAGAAGGATGTGCAGCTATGACATACAACTATCTACTGGGGCTTTGGGGGGAAAAAATTAAATAAATAAAATCTTTAAAAAAAAAAAAATAAAAAAAAAAAAAATAAAAAAAATAAAAATATACCCTGGAAATCACCACTATCCTTTCAGATTATCACCCTCATTCTTTTTTTACAGCTTAGTACATCAGAGTGTAAACGGATTATTTAAAATAAATCAATCACTCTCCTATGCATTGGTTTTTAGACTATTTGCAATAATTTGCAAGTATAATAAACACTATTTAGACATTTTCATATTGTTGGAGGTGTGTCCCCAGCGTAAATTCCTAAAAGAGGGATTGCTACATCATAAAGTAAACACATACACAGTGTATGTGGCTGTACCACTTGGCATAAAGTGTGAGAGGGTCAGTTTCCTCACAGCCTCACCAAGAGTGTATTATTAAAGCCTTTTGATTTCTGCCAATATAACAGATAAGAAATGGTCTCTCCATGCAGCTTTAATTTCTCTTATGAGTAAAGCTGAACATCTTTTCATGTTTAGAAGCCATTTCTATCCTTTTTGTCAACTGCTCACTTTTTATCATTTTTGGCCTCCCCTGCTTAATTTTTAAAAGTTCTTTACAAACATGGCCTTTTACTGCCCTTTATTGAAATATATGTTGCAAATATTTTTCTCCCAGTTTGTATTTTATGTACTCAAATTTTAATCTTTTATTACATCCGAATTTTGAGTCATAGAAAGCCCTTTCACACACCTACATTATAGAGGAATTTACCCATGTTTTCTTCCAGTACTTGTGTAGCTTCATTTTTTTACATTTAGATCTCTGATCCATTTGGAGATTACTCTTGTGTATGGTGTCAGATATAAATCTCATTTTATCATTTTCTAAATGACCATAGAATTGTCCCAGCACCATTTACTTAAAAGTTCATCTTTGCCCCAGTGATTTTTAAAATGTCATGTTCAGCACATACTAAATTTCCCTCTGAATGGAAATTTATATATAATCTCCAGACTTTCTCTTCTATTTCTCTGGTCTGTCTATTCATGCACCTGTACCACAGTGTTAATTATTAACATACGTTTAAAAATCTGATAGGACTATGCCCCCTCATAGCTGTCGTTTAGTGTTTCCAAGTAGAAAAGTCTTGTTTTGCAATTTTGTTACTAATTCCTAGTTTTATTACATTGTGACCAGCGTTGTTTGTAATTTTCCACTTTAGGAAATTTAGTGATGATTTCTTTGTGACATATTATGTTTTGCCTGGGGAGATTACACTACAAAATACCTTCCGCTATTGCATCTTACAAAGCACTTTCGCATGCATCGTTCCATCTTCACGATACCGCCCTGCAGGTATCTTACACTAACACGTCCTGAGGAGGGGTGGGGAGGGCAACAACAGCCCATCCAGCACTAGTCCCCCAAATAAACGAAAGCTCGAATCCTCCGTAGGTTGCTAACGCCTAAAAGAAAAAACTTCATCCTTGACTTTTGTAATACTGAGAACTGTAGCTCTATGGCCACTCTTACAGATATAAATACCAAGTAAAATTGCTCGGGGGGGGTTCTACCATAAGCAGACTAACGGTAACCTTGGTGATTTTTTCTTTTCCAATATCTGCTGGGCTCTTTATTCTGTTTTCCCGAAGCCTGGACTCCCTTGCAAAGCACTGCAAGCAAAAACACTTTTTTCCCCCTTAATATTTTTCTCTGAGTTTTCTTTCAAAGAACTAAAGTTCGAATTACACATATGAGAGATTCCAACGTCTGAACCAGAACGCGGGTTAGTTACAATCCAAGACCAGTGGCGCTTTCCTGGGGGATTCCCACTGCTGCCCCTGTCGGCTCAGCGCAACGAGAAACCTGCTCCTCCACACCAGTAACTCGAGTGGACCGGCCACCAGGGAGCCGGGAACCCTCCTCTAAACCTGAGGAGACCGCAGGGGAGACGGGCGGGCGGGGCGGGGTGGTGGAGAGCTTCCTCCGCTGCCACGGTAACCGCACACGCGGCTCCGGCACAGGAGGTCACCGCAGCGAGCAGCGCTCACTACGCGAGATGCTTCCCGCGCTCAGCTCTCCGCGCTCACCCTGCTGCCCGGAAACGCGGCGCTGTGCCCTCCGGAAGACTGGGCGGGCCAGTCGCGATCCCCCACGCGCCCTCTCCCTCAGCCGCGGAGCCCACCCGCCGTCTCCGCCCGCAGCCTCCTCACCACGCCCTGGGCCGCAAGAAGGCAGTTCGGGGCCGCCCCAGCGGCAGGGACGGCATTCCCTGGCTCCCCGCGGCCCGACCCCGCGCGAGGGCCTCACCTGCGGGTAGAGGTGCTGCACGAACTGCTCCTGCGAAACGCCGTCGAGCCGGGGGACCGGGAGGCGCTGCCCGGCCATGGTGGCTCCCGCCCGTCCTCTTTCAAGTCCCGCGAACCTCGGCCCCAACGTGTTCCTCAGCGCGCGATCCGCCCGGAAACATGGCCCGCGGAGAAAAGGTCCGCGAGGTCGGCGGACTCGCGAGAGCGGCGGCTTCCGAGCGCTGGGCCGGGGGTCCCAAGGCCTCTGCGCGGGCTGTGTGCCGGAGGGCGGGGATGGGGTGGACTCATCAGAGGCGGCAGCAACGGGCCGGCTTTACTCTCCAGTCTCTTTCTGCGAACCCCCCTGAGGTGGTTTCCCACCGACTATCTTTCGGGATGCACAAGCAAGCACAGGGGTAAAAGGTCATAAAGATGGCGCTGGCCGTTCGGCTGCTACCCCGCTTGCTGCTCTCTCGGCCGCTGCCCGGCGGGGCCGCCCGACCCCGGCCTCCCGATGCAGCCGAGGGGAGGCCGCCGTTGGCTGGACTTTGCTGCTGCTGCCGCCGCCTTCTCGGCTCGGGCGCGGCCCCGTTCCCTCGCGTCCCTCGGGCCTCGGCGGCCTGGGCGCTGCCTGCTCGCGGTCCCCGGCCTCCCCGGCTCGGCGCTCGGGGGCTCCCCGCGCTCTCCGCGCTCCCCGGGCGCAGCTATAGCACCGAGGAGCAGCCGCAGTCGCGCCAGAAGACCAAGATGATCATCCTGGGCTTCTCCAACCCCATCAACTGGGTGCGGACTCGAATTTTCGCCTTCCTTATCTGGGCCTATTTCGACCGCGAGTTCAGCATCGCAGAATTCTCTGAGGGAGCGAAGCAGGTGTGTGTATTTCCCCGGGTTGACCTGTCGCCTCTCCCGCCTTCAGCTCTTACACGCACAGGTGCTCAGCGGGGAGGCGCCCTCGCTGGATCCCAGATTACCAGAACGTGTGGAGTGACCCAGGCGCGGAGCCCGCCGGCCGCCTTTTGGCTTAAATTAAGCTTCTGGGTCTGTTTGCACGGTCGTCGAGGAGGAGGGGTTCGATTGAGACACCAGGGTGAAGTCCCCAGTTGCCTTCTCTGCTCCCTACAGGTTTTGACTCAGAAAGAAATGGATTCAAAGCTCATTTCTGCCACTTAAAAGTTACGTGGCTTTATCTTTTCTGGACGTGATTGTCTGCAAAATGAAGAAGACAATGCCTGGCACGTAGTAGGCACTCCATAAATGTTGGTTGAATGAATGAGTGAGTGGTTAAGATGGTGTGGAAGAGTAAATGAGATAACATTTCCAAAGTGCTTTAATGTCGTTTTGAGTAGAAAGAAAACTTCCTGTCGGCTATTTGACAGAGCTCTGCTGCCCTTCCCCTCGCCAGCGCTCCCCATCATACTCCTTTAAAGAATAACCTAGAAATGAGCAGTTTTCCCCTTTGCAAGAATTTACTGAGACCACCTGGTCGCTGAGAAGTGCACAGCACTCTGGACACTGAGAAACAGCCTTTGGTGATCCATAGCCCTGACCCGGACAGTTATGTCCCTCTTTCCAAGTGGCTGATAATACCCGGCCTTACTCTTGCCACATAACAGTCGCTTTGGGTCCTCAGATTATTTGCAGATTTTGTGTGTACATGCATTTTTCTAGGATGAAAGTCCATCTATAACTTTGTTTTGAATCTTCTAAAGAGTTTATTTCCAATCATTTCAGAACTATTGATAAACGGTAGGGATCTAGTTTATTTCCCAGTTCATACTGCCAGATGCCTTAAAATTATGACATCAGTGTAATCATTTTGCAGTATTGATTGTATACTGTGCTGATGTTTTTACTTCTAATTTATTTCAGATTATTTCTATAAACATAGCCTGTTTACTTCTGTGACCTTTCAGTTATAAATTAAATGTTTTCAGTTTTAGTAATTGTCAATATTAACTCCTGCTTCATGCCTCCCTGAGTCAATTCTTAACTGCTTTATGTGTTTATAAAAAAGTTCAAAAGCAAAGGGCAAGCTTGATTAATAGCATCATAAGGGGTAAACCTTTGCTCATGTCAGTTCTCAAAATTTTTTGTCCCTACGTGGGTAAATTGGCATGATCCTACTATTCTCCACAGCGTCCGCTGATGCCATATGGGCTTGTCCACCTCATAACACGTATGTGACTGTACAGCTCATGTGTGTGTCAATAAGGAATGGAAATCATCTCCCCACCTGGGCAAGAATCAGGCCTTAGTCCCTATTTCCTCTGAACACATGGAGGAGAGTGGGACACTTTAGTCACTCTCTGGTCCTAGAGGTCCTCCAGCTGTTAGCTATTTTTAGCCCCTCTCCTTGCTGTTAAGTAATATCTCCACCCCTTCATCAGCCTGTGTGTATACAGTTTCTCCTCACCTAAGTCCATTTTTGTGCATTTAATCATTCTGATTTCCAAAAGGAATGTTGAGTCATCCATGGCAAATATTTAGTGATTCCCTTAAACCAGTGGTTACTTAACATACCATTCAGATCGAGCAAATGAGTTTTTTAACACCTAAGATTTATAAGGACGGCCAAAAAACCTCTCTAGTAGATCTGATGATGCAACTGTACCTTCCCTTGCATGAGTATAATTCCAGGGCTTGGGAATAATCTGGTGCAGAAACATTAGCTAGTTTATCTACTCTCATGGGCCCACTTGCCCTTTCTCTTTAGGCTAAGCTCCCAGCAATAAGATATCTTGGATTGTGAGTATCAAGTTATCGATTAGATCATGTTCATTAAGATTTCTTTTTTTAATCATAGAACACGAAAACGAAAAGGCACCTTAGGCCTCATCATTCCAGTCTAATCCTCCTTTTTAGATGATAAAACCAAGTTCTAGAAAGGTGAAACGATTGGCTCAAGGATGCATAGCTAGTAAATGCTGAGGGGCACTGTCCTAAACCCACTCTACAAGCAGTCTTGGTCCTCCAGAGTCACTAGAAATTGAGGTCATTGAGGACAATCTAGGCAAGTTTTTATTCATCACGTGAGCCAGGGGAAAAGCTCCACAGACCCTGCTTTCCACTGATACATACATATGACATGATATCTTCCCTATTGCTGCCGTCAAACCATACTAGTCATATACTGTTTGTTTTCCTATCTTTTTTTTCTTCTTTTTTTGTGAGGAAGATCAGCCCTAGGCTAACAGCCATGCAAATCCTCGTCTTTTTGCTGAGGAAGACTGGCCCTGAGCTAACATCTGTGCCCATCTTCCTCCACTTTATATGGGACGTCGCCACAGCATGGCCTGACAAGCAGTGCATCTGTGCGCGCCCGGGATCCGAACCTGGGCCACCAGCAGCAGAGTGCGCGCACTTAACTGCTATGCCATGGGGCTGGCCCTGTTTTCCTATATCTTGCTTGCACATTTTAGCCTTTTCTATGAAAAAGAGGGCTATTTCCTGGAATACTGTTTACATTAGACACTCCTAATGCCATCAAGACATTTTCAGGGCAGCTTACAACAGTTCTGACTCTGTCAATGCAGCCCGCGCAGGTTAAGGGCTCAGTCTCACAAGACTGCCCTCACTTCGGACACCAATCTCAAGTCCAGGCCTCCCATACTTTTGACCAACCAGCTATAAATTGGGGGTCCCACATCCCCCTTCCTTGGGTTTGATAATTTGCTAGAATGGCTCATAGAACTCAGGAAAGCACTTTATCTGCTATTTTGGTTTATTATAAAGGATACAACTCAGGACAGCCAGATGGAAGAGATGCATAGGGCAAGATATGCAGGAACAAGTGTGGAGCTTCCGTGCCCTCTCCAGGCACACCACTCTGCCACACCTCCATGTGTTCACCAACCTAGAAGCTCTCCTGACCCCTTTGTTTAGGGTTATGGAAGTTCCATTATGTAGGCATGGTTGATTAAATCATTGGCCGTTGGTGGCTAGCCAGATCCCCAGCCCCTCTCCCCTCCCTGGAAGTCTGGAGGTAGGGCTGAAAGTTTCAGCCCTCTAATCACAGAATTGGTTCCTCTGACAACCATCCCCCATCTTCCAAGAGTCTTCTCATTAGCCTAAACTCAGGTATGGTTAAAAGGGGCTTATTTTGAATAACAAAAGATGCTCCTCTCACCCATTTCACTCAGGAAATTTTAGGAATTTTAGGAGCTCTGTGCTAGGAACCAGAATGAAGACTAAATATTTCTTATTACAACACAGTATAACACCATTGATATGTGCATACGATATCTTCCCTGTTACTGCCGTGAAACCACATCAGTCGTATACTGCTTTTCCTATCTCTTGCTTGCACATTTTCGCCTATGCAGTGAAAAAGAGGGCTATTTCTTAGAAGCCTCTTAGGTAGTCACGCCTGTGTCATCAAAGCCTTATCAGAGCAGCCTCCTAATTGTTTGTTATTACCTTATAAAATCATTTGCTCATGCGTGATCCTCCTTGACCACACAAACTAGAGTCTAATGGTTGGGTTTCAACATGAAGGTTATGGGCCTTGTTTCTTTTGCCCAAATATCACCCGTCTTCCGCACATGAAGTCTTACTAAAACATATAGTGTCCCTGAACCCTGAAGGCCTCTTAAGTGTTTGCAAGGGGTTCTTGAATCCATTGGATGTATGCATTTTCTCAAAATTCAACTCCATTATTGTCCTAGTTTGCCAGGGCTGCCTTAAAATACCACAGTCTGGGTGGCTTAAACCACAAAACTTTATTTTCTCACAGTTCTGGAGGCTAGAAGTCCAAGATCAAGGTGTTGGCAGGTTTGGTTTCTGCTGAGGCCTCTCTCCTTAGCTTGCGGGTGGCTGCCTTCTAGCTGTGTCCTCACATCGTTTTTTTTCATCTGTGCACATGTACCCTCAGTCTGTTTGTGTGTCCAAATTTCCTCTTATAAAGATGCCTAATGAGATTGGAGTAGGACCTACCCTCACAGCCTCATTTTAACTTAATCACCTCTTTAAAGGCCCTGTCTCCAAATATAGTCACCTTCTGAAGTCCTGGGAGTTAGGGCTTCAACATATGAATTTAGGGGGAAGAAAATCCAGCCCATAACAATTAGGTAGTATTGTCTGACATGCGTGTGCATCTTCTTTCTCCTGCCAGTTCTCCAGATTTCATCTTAGAAGTTACTTGCTTTAGGAAGCCCTCTCTGGTCTTCCCAGATTGGCTTAAGTGGCTCTTCTGTACGCTCCCAAATCATCCTTTTCTTACCCCTGTCATAATTCTTAACTTACCAGTTTACTTGCCTCCCTCCTCAAGTAGACTGAAAGCTGCTTGAAGACAGATAGAGTCGATGCAGTTTCATTTCTCACTGCTGGGAATGTGGAGGATTGCAGCTAGTTCCCCCTCACTTTAAAATGGGACCTCATACTTCAAGTTGGGATCCACTGTATTAGACTGTAAACTGTCTTTTCTCCTACTTTCCCAAACCTGCCTTACCTATCTTAATGTGGGTCAGACTGCAACCCAGATCTTCAGACTCCCAGTACAATCCAGACTGCTGCTTCCCACCTGCTCTCTGTGCTTGATTAAGAGGGATGTGATATAACAGTGAGGATGGTTGATCACTTCATTATTTTAAAAGGAAATACATAGGAGGATTTTTATTGAGGATCTAGCGTGTACACCACAAGCTAGCTTTTCCCAGGTCCTGAGAGCCGATACGTGATGATCAACCTGCTCATTTACTACTATGCAGGTGGGAAGGCCATCTGAGAAAAGAAAAGCCAACCAACTTGGAAGCAGTCATGTTTCACATTGATATATTAATGTTTGGCATTGTTTATTGCCTTTGTCATCAATAGTCTTTGTTACACTTAGCCATTTAAGTATGAGCATTATGTGTTGTATGGTATTTTGAAATAGTAATCAACATCCTCCCCCCACTATTTTTTTTTAAGGCTTTTGCTCATGTGTCCAAGTTGCTGTCACAGTGTAAATTTGATCTGTTGGAAGAACTTGTGGCCAAAGAGGTAAAGTATCTTTTAATTTTTCTTAAAAATAAATGTATTATTCTCTTGCAATAGAATGATATACATTGTCCTTATTTATGCTTAAAAATAGTATGTGTGCTGTGAGCCAAAGTAGAGTTCCTGTGTCTTTCCTTTTGGGTACTTAGGGTCATATAAAAGTATAGAATGACTTGCTACTTAAGGCATAAGTAAGTAAATATAATGTCTTTCACTTGTTTTATATTGAATGTTCTGTTAGGAATTATCTAGTTGAATAATTAGATGCCTTCAAAAATCACTCCTTTTGAAGATGAGTAAATATGGTAGTAAATTTAAAAATAGATTCAGAAAAATTCATTCCATGAAGAATTCATTCCACTTTTTGAAAAGCTTTCGAGAACTCAATAGGTGAATTATGGTTTGCTTTTTCCGAACTTAGGTGCTACATGTATTGAAAGAAAAGGTTACTTCACTACCTGACAACCATAAGCATGCCCTTGCTGCTGACATCGATGAGATTGTGTACACATCCACAGGAGACATCTCCATCTACTACGATGAGAAAGGTAATGCTGGGGCAGTCAGCTGTAAATGATCTGTAATTGTCCAGCTAAGCTAAACCAGTGGATAATCCTGACATAGCGGGGTTTTGTTGGTACAAGTGGATATTTATAGAACTTCAAAGAAAATAATATATTCATTCTTTAAAGACCTAGCTCTGGAAGAGTTGAGATATGGTAATAGTTTCTTATGCCCTTCTGTCTAGAACTTTTCCCTCCTGCTATTTAATTCATAGGAGAAAGCATCATCACTTAGATTGATGAGCATAGTCTGCCTAGGACAAGCTTTCCCGTGTCTCAAGTTAGAAATATTTGTGTTTCAGATTTCCTAACTTGGAGGAAACAATTGAGCATTTTAAATGTCCAGCTATATGTTAAATAGAAGGAGTAAAGAGTAAAAGAAAAAGTAAATAATATCAGCTAAAAACTGTTTTGAAAATAGGATTAACTGCAGAACCCCTAAATTGGATTTATTTGGAGACAGTGAAGAGTTGAAAGGAACTTTAGTGGTTATCTGGTTCTTCTCTTTGTCCAATGCGTACATTTTCTCTATAGCATTCCTGAACGTTTATTGACTTACTTATTCCTTCTACAAATATTTGCATATGTATTATGTGCCAGGCACACAGGAAATTTAGCCTTTGCTTACACACTCCCCAAGGCAGTTCTGATATAGGACTCTTAGTAATTAAAAATTTTTCATACAAATGTTAATTTGAAACATTTTTAGAGGTATTTTAGTGATCAATATTTTCTTTTCCCCTAATTATTTCAAATTGCATCTTAGAAACATGGCCACCACCTGATTTTTACACAGGACGTTGTCATAATCACTAGTCATAGCAAAGTGAATCAGGGTGAGATAACAGGCTGTCTTCTTTCTGGCAGTTGGGGTTAAGTTAATTACTTAGCAGCAAGAGATGTGTTTTTCCCTCTCATTTTTGGTTTGACAACAGATATCTGTTATTATAATTTTAGAAAATACCACAAATTGAAAATAATCCATGTAGTACACTTAGTAAATAGTACATGCTCAGTAAATAGTGACTATTATTACTGCGATGCAGAGAAGAGGGCAAATATGTCATAAACTCTGAGAGAATTTTCTAAAAATAAAAAGGTATCAACACAGGTATCTTAAGTTAGACTAGAATAAGCACAAAGTTTGATCTGTTACACTGTGTAACTACTGCCAATTTCTGATTTCGTTTTGGATATATGGATGATAGATTATTGTGATGTGTATATTTGTGTGTGTGTGTATGTTTTTTCTCTAAGGAAGGAAGTTTGTTAACATCCTGATGTGCTTTTGGTATCTAACCAGTGCCAGCATCCCCAGTGAAACTATAAGTGGAGCCAGTGTGTTCCAGGTTAAGTTGGGGGATCAGAACGTGGAAACTAAACAACTTCTTAGTGCAAGCTATGAGTAAGTCTAACCACATTTCATTGTTTCCTTTCTCCAGAAAATGGAAGGTAGTGTGAAGGTATGAAAACTAAAGGGAGCTTTAGGAAGAAAAGGATTGAAATTTGACAAGTTATTTATGAAGAGAAAAAGTCATAAAGACATACTGACCATGAAACAGGAGTGTTCAGAAATTAGAAAGAGGTAATATTGCTGAATTCAATTAAACGGTGTTTCAGCTGTCTATTGCTGCATTACGACCCACTCCAAAACTCAGTACCTTCAGTCAGCCATTTATTTTGCCTGCTGTCTTACTGCTCAGGAAGTTTGGAGAGGCTCAGCTCTGGAGTTTTCTCTGCTTCACCTGGAATCACCTGGGGCTGCAGAGGCTGGAGGATTCGTTTCCACAATGGCTCCTTGGTGCTCCTTGGCTTCTCCACACAACGTCTCATTCTCCAAGGCCTCTCTTCGTGGCCTGAGCTTGTGGTAGTTTCAGGCTAGTCACAGGTTTCAGTGGTGGTTGGCTTCCAAGAGGCAGAAGATGGAAGATGCTAGACCAGTAAAGGGCTATGCCCAGGACTGGAACAACATCATTTCTGCCGTAGTTTACTGGTCAAAGCAGGCACAGGACCTGCAGAGTTGAAAGGGCATGGAGAGACTCCACCTCTTCATGGGGCAACAGCACGGTCACATTGCAGAAGAGCACGTGGGATGAGAGATACGGTTATGGCTGTCTTTGGAAAATAAAATCTGCCATAATTGGCCCATGGACCATCCATTCTTTAGACATTTATTGACCATCTTCTATTTACCAAATACCCTGCTGCAGGTTCTGATACAAAATTGAAGGGTTCCTGCCCTTAAGGAGGTACTGTCTCATGGGAGGTTAATGAATTATTTTAAAACGACACTATGATGGATTTTTTTGCTAATAAAATTTAGAACAGTGAACAAGTCAAGCAAGTCAGTGGAGACATAATTTAATATTTATTTAAAAGAGAATATTATGATGTCACCAAAGTTAAACAAATTTGCTTTAAAATAACAAATCCCAGAAATGGCCTAAGAAAGCAAATGTATTGTTTCACTAAGCTAAAAGGGAATTATATCCTCATTTTTTTCACTTTTTTTGAAAGAAATGTGCTTTTTTCTTTTTTGAATCTTGCTTTATTTGTAATTATCCAAAATAGTGTATTTAAATACTTATTTAAATCTACTGAATTGTCTCTTTTTTAAAACATCACTTATAATTAAAGAGCAATATAATCAATACTAACCTTCGGTTCTTCTGATATTCCCTACTAAGACCATGGGCAGCTCATAAACAATGTTATTTTCAAGATTGATCTAATGTATATAAACCAAATTCCACTGAAGTACTGTTTGCAGCACCGTAGTCCAGTTTATTTCTCCTCGTATTAGGCCTGGTATAGCTAGTATTGAACAACAGAATAATATCTAAGTTTCTATCAAGGCCTGGCAAGTGTTGGAATGTAGATCAGTCCATTAAAAATACTCATTTTAGCTGAGAATGTACTTCTGATTCTGTGGGTATATATTTTGTGATTGAATTGGTAGATTAAACTCTTTTTTGGTTTTGATTTTTATTTACCATTAACAATTAGCTTGTTGCTAAAAACTGTCTCTAACGTACATTTGCAAATTATGTAGTTATCCAAGAAGTATTTGGACAGATGTAAGATTCACATTATTTGTAATTTTATTCCCAGATTTCAGAGGGAGTTTACACAAGGAGTGAAGCCTGATTGGACCATTGCACGGATTGAACACTCAAAGTTATTAGAATAATCTTTCTCGGAAAAATCAGCTTATTGGACTGTTAGCAATTGCTGTGAGAAACTAAGGAAGAAAAATTTTTGGATCATGTGATCTTCACTTAGTGAAGTCTGTGGATTACTTTTGTATTATTTTGAAATACTCCTTGTAGTGTATTAGCATGATATAATAAAGCATTTTCCACAGATTGTTGTCACCTTCTATAAAAGAGGTCAAAGTAAACTACAACACATTGTTGGTGCCGTGTTCAGTAGCAATTGTAATGTTATATGTGTATACACACAAACTATAATTTTATGGACACAATAAAGAAGGTATTGAAAAAAGTATTTACACATTTCTAAATTAACAGTCCTTAAATATTTTATTTGTGGTTAATACATATACAAATAATTCAAGTATGTTTAAGATTTATTTTTAAATATAGCTGCTGCTATTTGATTACCTCTTTGGTCACTAGCTGGATGAGGAGGTGTGGAGGGAACCATGGAGATTGGTCACTGCAGAACTAAAGATCAATGAACTTGAAGCTTAACCAAAGCGCAAAGAGAAGAACCCAGGACAGTGCCTTGGCCCCTGTGGGGTAATATCCAGTCTTCCAGTCCCAGAAGTTGGGGTAGGGGAGACAAAAACAATATAAGAAATAGTGTCTGAAAATTTTCCTAATTGATGAAAATTATAAACCCACAGATCCAAGAAATACGACAAGCAGGGTAACACACAGAAAACCTCACTATGGTACATCATCGTCAAATTGTAGAAAATCAGAGAAAATTGTAAAAGCAGCTGGAGAAAAAGCACATTCCATACAGAGAATGACTATTTCTTTTCTCAAACTGCAAGTTGGAGACCTTGGTTCGACATCTTTAAAGTGCTGATAGAAAAAAACCTGTTGACCTAGAATTCTAGGTTCAGCAAAAATATCTTACAGAAAAGACTTGTTCAGACAAGGAAAAGATGAGTGCCGGTAGACCTGTTTTATAAGAAATGTTAAGGACCAATGGACAGAATAAAGTTCAGAAATGGACCGATACATTCAATTGGACAATTGATTTTTGAGAAAGATGCCAAAATAATTCAGTGAGGAAAAGATAGTCTTTTTAACTAATGGAACTATATATTCATGTGGGAAATAAAGAACCTCAACTCTTGCCTCACGCTGTACATAATTTTTAGATTGCAAAATGGATCATAGACTTAAAAAAGAACTAAAACTTTAGAAATTCTACAAGGAAACAGAAATTGCTGTCTTCAGCTAGGCAAAGGTTCCTTAGGAGACAGCATGAATCATGAAAAAAAATTAATAAATTGGAATTTTTTTAAATTAAAACTCTTTCAAAGACAGCAGTAAGAAAATGAAAATCCAGGTCACAGGTTGGGAGAAAATACTTGCAATGCATATATTTGACAAAGGACCTGTAGCCAGAACATGTAAGGAATGTTTATAGCTCAATAATGAAAAGTCAAACAGCCCAATGAATATTGGGCAAAAGAAGTTGAATAAATTCTTCATAAAAAATGTTCAAATTGTCAATAAACACATGAAAAGATGCTCAGCACTTTTAGTCAGTAGGAAAACAAAATCACATGGAGATACCACTGCAAACCCACTAGAGTGACTTAAATAATGATGAAAACAATTGCCAGTACCAAGCGTTGGTGAAGATAGGGGTAACTGGAACGCTCAGACACTGGTAGTAGTAATGCAAAATGGTACAGCCATTTGGAAGATATTGTGGCAGTTTCTTATCAATTTAAACCTACGCTTCCCCTAGGACCCAGCAATTCTCTTCCTAGGTATTTGTCCAAGAGAGGTGAAAACGTGCATCCACACAAAGGGTTGTACGTGAATGTCCGTAACAGCTTTTTTCTTAATGACTCCAAACTGGAAAGAGCCCAAATATTATCAGTAGATGAATGGATAGACAAGTGAGTGAAGGGGGCCAGGGACAAAGGAGTACCTACTGCATAATTCTATTTCTGTGAAATTCTAGAAAAGTTTAATCTACAGTGACAGTGGTTTCCTGGGGCTAAGGTGGGGGTAGTGGTGGAAGAGGGGGGTTGTGACTGCAAAGGTGTACAAAGGTTTGGGGGGTGATGAAAATTGTATATATCTTGATTATGGTGGGGATTACATGGCTTTATACAATTATTATGAGTCATCAAACTGGACTTAAAATAGCTTCATTTTATTATATGTAAATTATTGTATGTATTTTATGCAAATTATACCTAAATAAAGTTTGCTAAGATGTTTAGCAAGAAAAATAAGTTGCAGAAAAGTAAGCTCAAATGATTTAATTTTTGTAAAGTATAAAAAAGCTAATCTGTGTTTTGGCTAATCTTAGATGAAATATATCTTAGATGAACTAGATAAGCTAATAGATCAAAAAGGCACATATTACTAAAAAACAAAAATGCAACCAACTAAACTATCACTTGTTATCAAGTGTAGGATGCATCTCCAATTCAATGATTTAAAATAGAAGGGGTATGTGTGATTTAGAATCAATGAAACAGTATGATTTATCATTTGTGAATATATGTATTGTAAAACTTGTTAAAAATGCAAGAGATTAATAAGGCACTAAATTCATTATAGTGGTGACCATCTGGGGAGGGAGAGAGTGGAATGTAACTGTAGTGTTTGTTTCTTCAAAAGAAGTATCTGGTGCCCAAGCTATGGTCTTTGTATGTGGTTTCCCAGTAAAAGGAACCAAGCTTTGGAAGCAATTCCAGGTCTACATGGAAAATAAGCAAAATTAGCCTGAGAGACATTCTTGGGCCAGAAAGCAAGGACACTATCAAAGTGATTGGAGTAACGTTGGAAGGACACAGGGGCCAACTTGAAGGGCTTCCACTGGCTAAGGTGGGACAATGTGAGCATCAGTAGAGTCATGGCTGCATGGACTGAAACCAAATATTTTTAAAAGTCAGTTCCTAATGAAACTCTGAACAAACAAACAGAAACAACAGTGGATAACTTTGGAGGTCTTTAGGACACTAACTCATTTCATTATTCTCAAAATTGATGAGGATTTAAAGCCAAGCATTTATCATGCTTTTCATGTGCAAAATTGTTCCAGTTATTTATTGCTGCTTAACCAACCCAAAATTTAGTTGCTTAAAACAACAACAATCACTTATGTTACTTGTGAATTTGGGTGGAGTTTGACTCAGCAATTTTTCTACTCCATGTTGCATTGATTGGGGTCCCTTGGGGATGTTCAGGCTGGTATGGAGGATTCAACATGGCTCTACTCACATGTCTGGCTCCTTATTGGAGATGGTCAGAAAGCTGGATGCAACTGGGTCACTTTTGGTCTCTGACCTGTCTTGAAATTTTTTTCCCCAAATTATGTAGGTTACAAATAAAATATAAATTGGCATATCTTCCACTATCCCAGAAAAAATTTTCTATTTGTGTAATTTAATGTGGCTAATTTGTTTCTATTGTGATAGGTTGTTTCATCAAAAATTTGGGCCATTTAAGGTTATGTGGGAGGGGCCCTGGGGTATTTGTCTTGGCCTGGTTAGCTCTTGTCCTCATGGATCTTACAGCCCGGTTATTTCCTGTGGAGTTTTTTTGTTGTTTCAGCTTTATTGAAGTTTAACTGTCAAATAAAATTATAATATTGAAAGTGTGCAACATGATGATTTGATGTACATATACATTGTGAGAGGATTCCCACAATCAAGTTAATTAACACACCCATCACTTCATATATTTACCTTTCTTTTTTTTTATTTTGGTAAGAACACTTAAGATCTACTCTCAGCAAATTTCAGTTACACAATACAGTACTATCAACTGTAGTCACCAGGCTATACATTAGATCCTCAGACCTAATTCATCTTATGACTGAAAGTCATACCCTTTTGCCACCATTCTACCACAGCTTGTTTATCCATTCATTTGGTGGCAGACTTGGTTGTTTCCACACCTTGGCTATTGTGAATAATGCTGCAATGAACATGGGCGTACAGATATCATTTTGAGATAATGATCTCATTTCCTTAGATATATACACAGGTAGGATTGCTGGGTTATATGGTAGTTCTATTTTTAATTTCTTGAGGAACCTCTATACTGTTTTCCATAGTGGCTGCGCCAATTTACATTTCCACCAACAGTGCACAAGGGTTCCCTTTTCTCCACATCCTTGTCAGTGTTTGTTGTCTCTTGACTTTTTGATAATAGACATCGTAACAGATGTGAGGTTTTGATTTGCATTTCCCTGATGATTAGTGATGTTAAGCACATTTTCATGTACCTGATGGCCATATTTGTACGTCTTTTTTTGAAAAATGTCTATTCAGGTCCTTTGCCCATTTTTTAATTTGGTTATTTGGGTTTTTTGCTATTAAATTGCATGAGTTCTTTGTATATATTTGGATATTAATGCCTTATCAAATATGTGGTTTGGAAATATCTTCTTCCATTCTATAGCTTGCCTTTTCGTTTTGTTGATGATTTCCTTTGCTGAGCAGAAGCTTTTTAGTTTGATGTCGTCCCACCTGTTTATTTCTGCTTCGGTTGCCTTTGCTTTGGTGTCAAATCCAAAAAATCACTGCCAAGACCAATGTCAAGGAGCTTACTTCCTATGCTTTCTCTAGGAGTTATATGGTTTCAGGTCTTATGTTCAAGTCTTTAATCCGTTTTGAGTTGATCTTTGTGTATGGTGTAAGGTAGGGGCCCAGTTTCATTCTTTTGCATGTGAATATCCAGTTTTCCCAATACCATTTATTGAAGAGACTATCCTTTCCCCATTGTGTAGTCTTTGTCAAAAATTAATTGACCATATATGCACGAGTTTATTTCTGTGCTTTCTGTTGTATTCCATTGACCTATGTGTTTGTTTTTATGCCAGTACCATATTGTTTTCCTTAGGGTTTTTCTCAGAAAAGGCCATGATACGATATCCCCTTAAAATTGCTAGTCCAGAAAGCAGATTGATAGAAGGTGAATTTAAACCTTAGTCTAGAGCTGGTTTAAGGGCCATAACTAACAAATTTTTTTTAAAATCAGTAAGACCAATACAAACTTGCTGCAGAATTTGAGATTTTATTAGATATGTATTGTCCTGTGCTGTCTAATTTATACAGTTAGCTTGCTTAATTGCTAGCTTCTCAAAAAGCAAAAAATGGTTAAAAGCCACAGGATGGGAAACATCAGGAGGAGATTTAAACCATCCAGCTGTGAATAAGTAAAGAAAATGGCTTTGAAAGGGAAAAAAATATATATATGAAATACATTACGTAGGGACATGTTGTTTTTCCTTTATGAATAATTGAACAAAGATTCAAAATTGTAAAGGAAGTTATAATAAATTAATAAAAGACTTTAAAAATAA